ATTACGTTTAATGAACGTGCTTAAGACGATCACCTCGTGTGCTTGTAATAATGATCTCTCTCATCATCGCACCGACATTTATCCTGTGTCCAACCCTTGATTTGGAGCAATTTCGAATAATGAAAATCCTCGTAACACTTCCTGCGCGCAGCAGGCAGAGTGAGAAATACAGATCTTTGAAAAGTTCGCAAGCCAAGCCGTAGTATGTGTATAGGTATTCTTATAAAATGTACCACACCTGTTACGTATTTAACGTTTAACTTTTCAATAAAAAATCTTCCTTTGTTTAATTTATATATTTATCCTTTTTTTTAACGAAATTATATTAGAACAATACGTGAAATAATAATTTATGTATGACATAATGATAATTAGAAGGGAATCTGAACGCCCTTCATTAGGGTTTCTAGAGAGGAATAAAAATTTCACAGCTTCGTTACAATGAACCTTCGTTGACGTTTATTCGAGAGGGATCTTCCCAAATCCTGAAGCACGTACTAGACTGGAAAAGCTGTTTGACGAATAAATACGTTGCAAACACAGTCGAGTGTGCATACGAGGAATAACCCTCGGTCCTGATGTGAACAGATGTATGGCTCGAAAGAACACTCGTCTTTCGAGAACTACTAGCTGAAGTGACGACAAGAAAAAGACTGACAGAGCTTAGCAAATGACGAATGCCGTATTACTTGAAGCGAAAGTATTTTGATAGTACTTCTACTCGTGCCTGATAGAAACTCCTTGAAACTCCTCGCGTTCGAGTGACTTAATATGGAGCGATTAAAGCGTTTGAATAAAATCATCCATATTTAAAGGTTATGAGAAATTAGACGTACTTATAAATATTTTAGTGTCGAAATTTTATTTAAATATCAGTAGTTTGATTTTGTAAAAGGAATTAATTTCTCGTGATTTTTTTACTTGTAAATATTTTAATCTTACAATTTATCACAGGACTTATTTTTAAAGATATAATTTTATTTTATATATTTTTTATGTCTATATATGAGCTTTTATAAGAGCGAATTTCATACATCAAATTTCCTTACTTCTGCTTACACTTGTATAACAAATAGAAATAAATTAAAATTAATTAGCACATCATCTGAACAGAGAAATATGATAGCGTTCTAATACTAGAAGAGAAATGTAAGACTTACCAAGGGTGCCATCCAGAGAAAAAGAATGCCTATCGTTTCTCCATGCCCACGAACACAAATCGCAGGTGGTGAGCCCATCGGTGGCGATGCTCTCTTCGGGTAGATAAGGTGGTCTAGGTGGCGGGGGTACAAAGCTTCCAATAACAGCCCACAAGGAATCGACGTCGTTGCCGACGCCGGTGTAATACAACAATTCTTCCTCGGCGACACCGGCGAACCAGTCCATATCGTTTACACTAGGATGGACTGTGTTCGTACTTGTCGTGGTTGAACCGGTGACCGTGACCTAAAAAAATAATACAATTGGTCAATACAAATTCACATAATATTAAAGCATTTTTAAAGACGTACGAACTGTGTTTCTAATTTGAATAATAAAAATTTGAAAAATCATTTTTACGTAGATATTTTAATTTTATAAAAAAATTTTTCTGTTATATTTTTTTAGTTACATCTAATAATATTTAGTTAGAAATTTCGCAATGTTTTTAATCATCCATTAATTAATTTTATAGGATAAATTTAAGCGTAATCTATTATTATTAATAATTTATTAGATATCGTATATTTATATTTTGCTAGTCTATATGTCTCTCAATGCGCTTTGACAGTCCCAAGTAAACACGACTAATGGAGCCTCCCTATCTCTGCGCGAGAGTTGTGGATAAAGAATCGAATGCATCCAGTCTGTCCTCTGGTACATGTTTCAGGAAATGGTGAGACAAACAGACGTTAAAATCAAAAAGTGAGGAACAAAGTCGGCGCATTTCTGAACATTTTTCTTACTTGAAACAGTGGGGGACACCGGATGAAGCGGGTCTTTGCAAAGAGATGTCCAGTGTCCTAACTCTTACGACAAACACTGAAAAATTGTATAGGCAGCAGCAAACAAACGCGCCTTCTTTCTTTCTCTCGCTCTTTTAAATCGCTTTCTGCGTCTCGTACAAAAATTTAATGAAGAGACTTATAAACACATAGCAACCAGACGTTTATACGTTAATTAAAAAAATAAATTATGTAAATCCAGTAAATATACTCTCGAAAATTTTTGCTATATTGAATAAATAGGAGATAACGAGAATTACAAACATACTCGAGTTTCTTTATTTTGATATAAATATAAATTAATGAGGATTAGTTGTTTCACCTTCGGGTAAATTATGTGGTATTTATGTAATCACTAATGGATAAAAAAGAGAGCGAATAAACTGAGATTTTTCGAAAGATGGAATAACTTAAAACTTATGTGTTGTCTGATAAGAATAAGTTTATTTGAATATAACGCGTACAGGATGGAAGCTTATATCATTTAACATATTTATTGATTCCAAAATATTTGAAGTGTATGTGCAGATATTCTTTCCGTAACTAATAAATGTACATCTGAGATTATAACGTAATCGCACGTGAGATGAAAGAAAATCGAGAAATACTGTAACTATGTATAGCATGAAGAAATATATATATATATATATAGCATTAAGATCTGCGTAGATCATCAAACAGTGATTACTTCGGAAGATGATGATTTTGTAAGACAAAATTCCATCTTCCTTTATCGCCGTAAGATAAAGAATTTAATGGAGAATTTACGAGTCGATAGATAGCGAATCATTATTCGTACTTTCCATGCTGATATTTTCGGTATCGTAATTATAATGATTGAAATACAGAAATATTGGAGAGATATTAGACGAACGTATGGCTTTCTTTTTTGCTTATTTGATTACCATAATTGCAGTATGTTTATTTAAAAATGTAGATATTTCTTTGCGAACGCGGGGATCGCATGCAACTTGGAATTAATGACTTTATCCATCCGTTGCCACGAGGCATTTCAACGTGTTTCATGTGAACCGCATATCAATCTAAGATGTGCAATCAGATATTCAAACGGAATGATACATTCGTGATTTTAGAGATTAGTATTAGAGATAAATGTAGTTCGTCAAGATAGAACGAAATATTACGGTGCCTTTAATGCGCTTTTATAAATTACTATGCATAACCAACTTTCTTCTTAATGGAGCGCATAAAAGAGTTTTGTAAAAAAAAAAATACGATGTTAAAATTAAAACTAATATATCTCAATCTTAATTTATTTCTTTAATAAGAAATTAAATAACAAAATTAATAAGAAATTAATAAGAAATTAATAACAAAATTAATAAGAAATTTAATAAGAAAATTGTATACCTATAATATAATAATTAAATGAAAATGAAGTATTGTATATCAATTGAATATACAAAAAAATCTTAAGGAGATCCTAAAGTGATAGAATTATCAACCTTACAGATTAAAAAGTAGTTCTTCGAATTGGCTGTACAAGTTGCAAAATTCTTTTATACAATTAAAATATACATAAAAAGTGCGAGAAAAGATTAAAAAATTATAATTATAACTAAATGTAATAACTTTTCTTATTTTTTTCAAAGCGACCATCTTGCATCTTTTTTTGTATTTTGATTGTGTAAAAAGATTTTACAATCTATACATTACAGCCAATTCGGAGAGATTCCTTCCTAATCTGTAATATTGATAATTCTGTCGCTTTAGGAACCCCCCCTTAAATCTATCTGCAAAATATAACAACCGCTATTAAGTACAACGCATTAAAGATATCGAACGATTTTAGTGCTCGGTCGTCACGCTTTAAAGGATTAAAAAGATTGAAAAGTATAGAAACAATGCTCCGCGAAGCGTTCCCCTCCATTGAATTCCATCAGCTTCGGATCTGATCGAACGATCGAACGATCGAACGAAATAATCTCTCCTATGAAGGGATCCATTTTAGTGCCCACGATGGTTCTTCATATCCGATGTTCTCGTCACCGGTAGGTAGAAGGCCCATCGGTTTGCGTATCATCGACGGGATTGGGAGAGTCACTGTGTTTATTCTCCTCCCCGTTCTTTGTCATGGCTTTTCCACGGCACGGCACGGCGGCGGCGGCGAGATGGTCGCGGTGAAGATTCGACTGCAGGCAGGATGCGTCCTTGTATCCCCACGGAAGGTGGGATGCTTTTGTGATGTGCGGAGGAGGCTCGTGGTCGGGATTGCGGATAGGAACCCGGGTGAAGCACTGAGGCTCTCCGCTTGGCGCACAATAGCACGCATTGATCGGCTTAATTACCGTGATATCGGCGTAATTAAAGCCCCGTTGTGTTGGGACCCTTTCTACGAAGGCGTCGAAGTAACCCGACGTGACTCGACTCCCGGCGTCAGGATTCTCGCATTCTCTCCGTCTCTCTTTTCGATTCCTTCGTACGATTCTCGTCAAGGCCCCTCTGTCACTTCCCCGCGTTCCTCGGCAACGCTTTGTTAATAAGCCATTATCCGGCCGGCGACGCGCACCTTCGGCGAATCGGCGAGGCGCGCGTTCAATCGCGTGGTGCTTTTAAAGAAGCGTGGCTTGTAGAGGCCAGTCGTGGAGAAATTACAAAGGCAATCTTATTCGCGGCGTGCGCGGGAGTAGCCCATCCAAGTAGAGTCAATTTTTCAAGTGAGCACATATTCGCTCACTTGAGTGAGTACATCGCAATTTGATATCGAGAAAAGAGACGAAAGATTACGCCCCACGTAATGATGAATGATATTGGAAAGAGCTTTGCCTTATATTTTTCTCTATGTTTATCTTTTCTCATAATTTTATACTCGATGAGCCATTTTTTACCAGCATTCTGAAACCTGACTGCAATTTTATCGTATTTTCTAAAATATTAAATTTAAAATAATTTGTTATTTAAATTAATATGTATATATGTTATTTAATATGTACTTATATATTTTGATCATCCTGTACGTTAAACAATATCTTGAGACAATTAAGAATCAGCAAACTGTCACACGCGATTATCCTTTCCGGATTTCTAACGTGGCGTCATAAATTTTTTGTGTGATATTACATTATCATCTGTGCGCATTTGCATCATTTGGATTCAAGGCTAAAATCAAAGTATCGTGTGTTATCTTTCCAGATTGACTGTGAAAAGAAGAACCATAGCCGAAGACTATAGTCAATCTCGACGTTGTGACCGCTTTAGATTTAAGGTTAGTGACACGAAAACCAGTTTACATTTCTGTTCGCGATATACAATGATATTCACGTTTACGACTAATCGGTTCGTTATATATTACGTACGATAATACTTCCTATACGACATGCACAATTTCACAAATATTTTATAAATATTTTCCATATAATAATTTATAAATATAATCCACGCCCGTATTAGCTAATTAAATATTAAAAGATAGGGATTGTTCCATTAATTTGCAACATTTGATGCATGACTTTAATAAGGACTGATTCAAAGTGCTAGCTATCTTCGAGCTATTACTTTCCGATCTCATCAGCTATGCTCGTTATATTCGAAGGAAACATCTCGTTATAATTACGAGGCGTTGGCGTTTACGAGCGAAAAGGGATGAAGCCTTATACTTGTTAATTTTAACATCCTGTTCAACTGCTCTGTTCTTTCTGGACAAGCGTGACTCAACCCTTTAAAAGATTTGTTAACTCGAGCTTCGTGTTCTAACGCGAATTTGCGTTACGCTTAGATAAAATATGACCAGTTGTCTTTGTCCATTATATATTATCGAAATTATTTAAGTATCCATTTGTGACTGATGAAAATATTCTTTTTTAATTGATTAACAAAAATGATTATCGTAAAATGAAATAAAAAAAAAAAACAACATAGACTGTTTGAAAATTAAAGTAGATGAAATGAAAGTATTAAACATTAATAGATGTTACATAATTAGCATTTAAATGTTTGTGTAAATATCACTCACAACGATTGAAACACAACTTTTACGCGATGGGAATATAAGAAACGTCGAATTCAAAGGGTCGACATCCAGAATGCGACAAAAATGATAGAGTCCGTCTTAAATTTCCATATTAAAGTAGATCTAAGATTCTTCCGACATTTCGGTTGCGATTCACACAGCCATTGTCTCCTATGGCTCCTTTCCTGTCCCCTTACTAACATTCTTCGTCTGTCTTTCCATCGTCTTCGAACATATCTTAGAGCTCGCACCGCGGAATTCGCGCCCTGTTTCTATCGAACCGCCGTCGCCGCCTCTCGACGTGTCTTTCGTCGGACCGCACGCATTTGCAATTCTGACACATTTGGCGGTGAAGTATAACACAGTGCACGCTATTCGCTGGTGAATCTGCTCTCCTCGAGACAAAGACAAAAGGAGAAGAATATCCCCATGAGCTACGTGGCGGGAACGTTGGAATATCAAATGATTCTTGGAAAGATCCTCCCTGGTCCATCTCCCTGGTCCCTCTCTTCCTCTTCGATCCCGTTCTCTCCGTCGTCACTCCGACGTTGTTTCGCGATCTTCGTGGCCCCCCTCCCCCCCCCCGCCGTGAATTTTCGGCGCTTCTTGGCGCAAGGCGGGAGGACGTGTCCCATCATTCTCCTTTTACTCTTCCTTTCCCTCTCTTTTCCCCTCTCGCTAAGTTTGAGAGGTCGTTAAAGACGGGGGTTCGTGGTCCAGGGCCGTATATAACGGATAATTGACAGCCGTGCCGGGGCCGACGTTTGCTTTGCATGGACATTGAATTCGCGTGGATGGACGTACGGCCGAAAGGAGACGAGAGGCTACGAAATTCGACCGACCGGTCGAACGGAACCGCGAGAGAGCACGAGACGTGACGTTCGGTCCAGGAGGAAGTGGAGAGCAAATGCTTGTGCTCGCTCAACGGACTCGTAAATTCTTCAATTCTGATGCTCGGAAAGGTACAAACGCGATCGTGACACGGTACTTTCTTCCTCGCGACGGGGCAATCTCATTTCGGCTTAATTGCAGCTCGATGTAGCGGTACTTTAGCAATTATCTATACCTTATCGAAAAAAGGGATAAAAATACGAGACCTGTACCCCGATTCAGTAACTACAAATCGATACCGTTGTTGTTGCGTAGATATTATATATGGTAAAAAAAAAAAAAAAAACTGCTTGTTTTTCGCGACAACAACGTACCGAACTGTTGTTAAAAGTTACAGAATCGAGGTACTGGGATAAGAAATTGAAAATGTGAAACGGTGAAAAAATATGATTCTTTTTCAAGAAAAATAATAGAAATTTTAGATTTGCGCAAGACAAGAATAATTTTATAATTTGTATAAACTAAAAATATGTTTTT